TCTAGAGGATCCCCGATTTGAAATTTATATTTCAGTCATTTTCTACATTTTCCAGAAAAAAATTTTTTTTTTGGTCCCACCGAAAGTCTAGGCAAATTTTGAAACTTCCCAAAACTTTTTCGAAAATACATGTTTTTTACAGAAAATGTTTGAAATATAACATTCCACATACCGTAAAACCTCTAATAGAACGACACCCGGATCGTCCTCTTTGATCCTATATATCTCATTTTCTGTGAAAGATATAAAAAAGTGGCTAACTAGTAAAATGTTGCTGATATCCTGATAAACATTTTACTAGTTAACCACTTTTTGATATCTTTCAACAGAAGTGAGATATATAGGCTCAAAGTGGACGATCCGGGTGTCGTTCTATTAGAGGTTTTACGGTAATTTCAATTCAAATAAAAAAGTTTCAAGTCCTAAAACCTTTTAGGAGTGGAGAAAATCAAGTTTGAAAATTGCCGATTTAACACTGAAAATGAAATTTTTGGCACTGAAACTGAAATTTCAGCACTTCAAAGGTCTCGTAAGCAGACTTTGAAAACGGATTTATAGGTTTCCGACTATGCTCTTTCGATCTATATAGGTGGTTTTTGCTGACTCCTACCTTCACTTGAAAGGTTCCCTTGTCAGCTGTAAATAGGGAATTTCAAAAAGCCAGTAAATGCCACCTATGATCTCGCAGTTTTTCTCTACGTCTCTGTTAGGATCTCCTCTAATATAATACTCGCCACCCTACTCACCTTCTCGCCACCTTTCCCCACAACCACAACACATAATGTGCTAATCGAGGGAAAATAATAACTGTGACACCGCAATGTTTGCCAACTTGTCTCCTTTGTCTCATTTGACATACGCAGACATCTGTTAAATGGGTATTGATGGCATGTGCTCGCGAGAGGAGGATTAGGATGGTCCAGATTGCGTCATAGAGAGTTGCGTAAGGGAATACGGTAGCCGGACCTAACTGACTAGTTGACTTGAGGAGCAGTTGCTTATTTTCGGAATGGACATAATACCTCACGAAGCAGTCTATCCATATATGGGCCAATTAAGTAATTTTTACAGGAAGGATTTTCCAAATTTCTAGATAGATATTAAAGCATTTTTTCAACGAAATTCGAAAGGTTTTTTGTTCCAAAAACCATTAAAAAATTGGACAAAAAATCCATTAACTAAACGGTTTTGTGTAACAGTATTTCAAAGATACTTTGCTTATAAAAGCAAGCAAGCTGGATAAATTCTTCAGAAAATTGTTGAAAACTTCAAAATCAAGTATAATAAAGTCTAAAAAACACGACATGTGTATATATCCAACGGTGTAGCTAAGCAAAAAACGACATCCGATGTTTTATGTCCAATAATGTCTTATGGGATTACCAAAAAGAGAAAATAATGTGTGTTAGACAATTATTTTTCAACATTGGATCACAAGGTTGACATATAAAAAAGAGAGAAAAAGGGGCGGAGTCAGAGCTTTCAAGTTTAGTAGTTGAAGAATAAGTTTTTAACTAGGTGACATCATTTTATTATAGAAAACCTATCCTGGTAGCTGAAGCACACAAAATTGGAAAACTTGAAAAACATAACCCTCATGGAAAAATCTAATTGACCCAAATCAGTGGTTAATTGATGAGATCTCAGAATTCACCGAAAAAAAATGAAAATAAAAAATAAACTGAAATAAAGGATTGTTCTGAATGATCAACTTTCCCATACAACGAAAAATAAAAATGATTCTGTTTATTTTTCAATTGCGAAAAAAGAAAACCATTACAAAAAAATTGGTGATGACACATAGGTTTTTTTGAACACACTTGAAAAAAAATCAAATTTCTATGTTTCGAAATATCTGGAAAAGCCTGAATAAAAAGACAAAAAACACAATTTCTGGTATCCTAACGCGTAGTCGAGGAAAAAACATTCAACAACTTACAATTAGTGGGTGTTTTGGAGTCCTCGGGGTAGTAATCACATGCTACATTGCTCTTCATTTTTCAACCGGAAATATGAAAAAATAAAATTTGAAAGCTGCGGTGACAAAAGGGAGGTTTGGATGGTGCAGCGGAAACCAAAACAAAAACGCATTATAGATTTGGAAATGAAAAAAAAGGGAAGAAAAAAAAGAGAAAAACGGAGCCTGATTTGTTGACTTTAATTTTTCGCAAAATTCATTTGTGTTAGAACATCAATATTGCTAATAAATTTACAAACTAATTGAATCTAATTAATTATGCATTGTTTGGAAAAATAAAAAATTAGAAAACACTAAAAAGTCATTTCCTCAATTTGCATACATATTTAAAATTCAAATAGAACCAGTTTCTTCTCCCAACTGAGATTTCTTCTCTAAATTTCCCTTATTCCTAAAAAAACCAAAAAGCAGCTCATCCATTATTGTCCTCACGCCATTCGCCACCTCAATTTCTCCCCGGCTCTTCCTTTTTCGATTCATCAATGTACCCTGGTCCCCCTCCTTATTTGACAAATAAGATTCCCATTTTTCAAATTGGGTGTCATCGTGTGGCCCCTCTTTTTTTTGGATTTGCCAAGAATGAGGGTCAGGGTCCAAGAGGGACGTAATGAGATCCTATAATTATGGGAGAGCAGATGGACTAGCAATGAATTGAAATATTTGAGAATCCAGGATCTATGTTTATGGAGAAAATAGCTTTTTGCAAGCTTGTGATTCTTCAAACCAGAAATTCATAAAAGGAACATGAAAAAAAAGGAAAAACGAAAATTTGCTCTTGTGATATTTTATGAGCGTTTTCATTTTTAAAAAAGACAACCAAACTATAAAAATGTGATTTCTGATTGCCCGAAAAGAGATTCATAAAAACCAGAAAGAATCGAAAAATGAAGGAAAGTGAACCCATAAAATGTACCGATTTATTATAGGCACACCCGATACTTAAATAGCGAGAGGGATAGTCAATGCTTTTTTTAGCAAGGTACACTTCAAAGTTTATTTCTGGGAAACTAAAGATAGAGGTGCTCCATAGGAGGCAGATAGGGAATCAGAAAAACCCTATACATGCACTTTGAGTTCGATTATCTTGATTCTTATCTTGATTCTTATGAGAGATATCAAAATTTTGTCAACTGATAAAATATTGGTGATGTTCTGGTAAATAATTTATCAGTTAAAAGTTTTTCGATATCTTTCAATAGAACCGAGATGAATGAGCTTAAAGTTCGCATATTAGGTGAGTTTCTATTAGAGCATTTATGGTGCCTCAATTTAGTTTCTTCCGATATTCCCAAATCAGTTCAGCTATTTCCTTTAAGTCAATTTTATTTCTCTAATATAAGAAATAACCTGTTGAATAATCCGTCTGTTGCAAGTCGTTCATTTTACTCTTCTCATCATTTCAACCCACGTTGCCCCTCACAACGCACACAGAGGCGACAAGTACAGGTAAAACAAAAGTGCGCTCCTCGGCTAACGCCGACATGTTTGAAATATTGACTCGTGATTGTCTCCTTGTTGTTTTAATTGTCGCAAAATGTGCCGTTTTTTAACTCTCACATATTTCAGAATTTTTGAAAATTGATATTTGTTTTCGGATTGCTTGGCTCAACAGTGGTTGTTCAGTGGAAATCAAAAGTAGAAGCTCTCTACAGAAAGATGTGTGGTGAGCTGCTTTATTTTAAATATAAAATACATAGGTTTCAAAAAACATGGAAACTCATGAAAAATTTTTATTTGTCTTGAACCGAATGAGCCCATCTTCAAACTGATGACGTTGCCTCTGGTTCACTCTGTCCCAAAGTTTGTACCATTTCATTTTCTCCTTCTCGCCAAGAGAGTTGTATGGTGGGTCTGGAACATCGAAAATACATAGTTGGCTGAAAAAACGAAATACTCACATCCTTGTCTCTCTGATCGTTGATTTTGATAGAGACTGCGACTGTTGACGGGCTTTTTCACCATCTGTGGGACCTCTACTTTTCCATTTGGGTTGAACAAATATTCATCGAGGACTGAAATAACAAAATTTCCTATTAAAAATCAGTTGGTCTTACTTACCAAGCTTATCTTCTAGATTCAGAACATTGTATTTGTACTTCTGGCTCCAGAGGACCACATTTTTCTCAAATTCTACAATGGTTGCTTGGTCCAATTTCTGGGTGTAGTCCATGTTGGTGCCATGAGGATAAGAAGGACCAAAATCCGTGAATTCTGGATTGGGAATGTTGAAGGCAGGGAATCCATAGAAGCCAGGAGGATAGAGCGTCTCAGATGTCGAAGGATTTTGGCTCGCTGTCTGATGATGATAGTCCATGTGATTTCCAAGAGGATGAGCGAAATCGGAATCAATGAATGGTGAGTTCGAAATGTTGAAGGACGGAAACTCATTCTGGGGTTGGAACATCCCGGACATCGATAATGTCGCAGATGTTGAAGGATGGCTGCCATCGGCTGAAAACCCATAGAAGCTGGCAGGATCGACCATCTGAGGGTTGTAGGCAGAAAATGAAGTCGTCGCAAATGTAGACGGAGCATTTACATTGTTCAACCCGTAAGTCATTTCCTCTTCTGGCCCCAGCATAGCTAAACAGCAGAACATTTGGTTTATAGTGAAAGTTTAAACAAAACTTGCCATTACGAATAGTCTCCTCTAATGGTGAATCATCGTGCAGATGCTTCAGAATCCGCGCTAGCTCGGACGCTTTTTCGGAATCAGTGGATCCAGAAGTGTCCGAAACCAGTTCTGCACCAATTTCCCTCTGATGATCATCAAAACTTGGATCTGAAAATTGGAAATCCTCCCTGCTTTTAAAATCTTAAAAGATTGACATAGGAAAAGTAGCTGTCTAAATCAGAATTTTGATTAATGATCTGAGAACAATTGATTGATTCTGCCTTAATTCAAAAAATTTTCGAAAAGATCACCTGAGTTTAGCTGTCGAAGCTGCTCCATTTGTTCAAGCTGCTCCGATCGCACGTGTTTTTGAGGACCTGGTGCATCAAGGTCCAAATAATCCAGATTGCGAAAACCAGCCATGTCGCGAATAAGTCAGAAAATCTGGACGATTTTGATAAAGCGTTGTCCAAATGATCCAGATTGCGAGAACGAAAATCAGCTATGCCTTTGGTCCAAGGAATGAGTCACCAAATCAGCACGATTTTGATGGAGCGTGTTTGCAGATCATGATAATCGTAATAAACGATCCAAAATGATTCACTTGATTTTTATAACCTCGAAGAAATATTCGCATCCCCATAGTTTATCGTTGTGAGCGTATGGGCGAAAAGTTTGATATGGTCTTGGGAGAATCGTAAAATTTTGTTTGAGAGGGGAGCAGCTACCGTAATCTGTGAGAATTTCAGTTTTGCCGTAGATTACTTTTTCGAGCCATGTTCTCTTCTATTTAAAGGTGGGGGACAGGAGATTTTTCGTAGTTTTTTTGTAGCTAGAGTATGCATTCTACCGTCACGGTGTACAACGCTTAATGTCACTCTGCGTACAGCTGTCGTCCTCGCCTTTATGTATGCAATCGGGCGGGCGCTTTCTCTTTGCCCGCGTGGCTCAGTCGGTAGCGGCGCCGCACCCTCAATCATCGCCCTCACAAGTTCAACTCCTCGAGAGGCATCTTTGAACGGAATTTCGAGAACATTATTTTTTTTTCATGTCCCCCCACCTTTAAACGCCTAGAATTATTCAAAAATAGTTTTAAAATCAAATTAGTTCCAGCAATTAGGTTTTCCAGGATGACTTTTTGCGCTTTCCTTCGCAATCAAACTTGGCATCACGCCAAAAAAGCCTGCACTCGCTCATCCTCTGACCTCTTCACCCCAATACTGTTCCAATGAAGCCTCTGTCTCGTCTAGCCATTTTTCCTCGGCCACGATTCTTCCATAGTAGAACAGGCCAACTGCTTTTTGCCCTCTCCGATTCCGGTACTATTCATGTATGCACTCTATGAAAGTCTGGGTATGATGATCTCTACTACATTGTGTTCCCGTTCTTCTCTAACAGGCAGTGGTTGCCCTTCTCTGTGGCGTCCGTCCTGTGTTGAAGCGACATCCCAAGTCGCGAGAAGAGACTGTGAGCGTGTGAGCGCGAACCGAGAAGGGGTGTGGGGTCTGTTTTCTCTGGCTACCTCTGTACTATTCATATACATACTCTATGATAGTCTGAGTCTGATACTCTTTAGTACATTGAGTTTCCGTTCTTCTCTACCAGGCAGTGGTTGTCCCTTCTTGCTAATACTGAGGCGTCCATCCTGCGTTGATGCGACATCCGAAGAAGCGGGAGGAGACAGTGCGCTCATACACTGCACGGGCAGCATTGTGAGACTTTGAGATGGATATTGATTTTCTCTAGATGCCTCAATCATTGAGAAAGAAACAACACACCATTGTGAGTGAGTTTGCGACGGTGCGTCGAGGGCATAGCGTCGCATCGAGGGAAGACGACGCATGGTCCACGAGACGGAGGCGGGTCACATTGTGAGTGTTGCCCGTGGTTGTCTCTATCATTTCGAAGGGTAACACATAAAATCGATATAAAACTCTTGCGAGTTTCCGGCTGCGCGTCGAGGGCCGACGACGCATGGGCCACAAGACTGTGACGGATGGAAAATGCAAGTGCGCTCTTTTGAGATGTCATTCTTCGCGAGGTAAAAGATAAGGCTTAGGAGTTAGCAGGTCTTAGGAAGTAAATTGAGATAGCAGCACCGATTCGAGCTGCAGATTTCAGATGGATTTCCAGTAAAATTGTCATACGTTGCGTTTTTGGATAGCTGAACAGGAAATTTCAAAAGTTTTAAACGTTCACAATCAAACTTCAGAGGCAACGACACTTCAACCTTTTTGGAACTGATAAGTCACTCCAATGGAACTGATAAGTTTCAATCTTTCTGGAACTAATGAGTTTCTGAATGTTGCAGTAATCACCTGGAATCTGGTTCTTCAATGATTTTTAGGACGATTTCAAACACTATCGAATTTCCAAAACAGAATTTTCCCTCTACATCTACCGTAATTCCATTTTCCTCATTCTTCCCCTTTTATTGGTTGTCCGATCCAATCCATTCTCTCCAACCATACAGTTCCTCTATTCTTCTATTTGCCAAACACGCAAAAATGACAGTATTCCGCCTTATTCTCTCATTTTTCCCAACTATTCTGCCTGTTTGTCCTTCTATCACGTTTTGGGAGAAGGGAAGAGAATTTGGATCATTTAAAAATGTTTTTAGCATCTTCCACATACTAAAATTCCGTCTTCAAGTTGATCGAGAAGAAAAATTGAAAAAAAAACATGGATATTCAAAACTTTTAAAGAGGGAGATTGTGAAATTCTAAGCCAAATCATTTTCGGTACTAAAGATAGGAATGAGAGCGCTGAAGAGTACAGAACAGGGGAATCAAGAGGCGGAAAAGAAAAGCAAGAGAAGCTAGCAAACGCGCTCTATGTATTGACAGTCAACTAACTTTTTTGTCAAAGTCCCAATTTCAAAGCTAAGAGCGTATGCTAGTTTTTCACTAGAAAATTAACATCTTCTACAATTTACAATTCCATCTTCAAGTTGCTTTTTCTGAAGCGCCACCATTCTCCTCCACAGCTCTGTCCATTGGCTCCTCTCATCTTTCTTGATCTTTTTCCAGTGTCGAACTGAATTATTATTACTATCATTTTTCAGATTCGCCTGATTAACACTCACACTTATCGGCTGAAGGACATTGATTGACGTACAGTGTGGAAGGATTGACGGCTATCACGACCCATCGTGAATTATGTTTTTGATTTGCAAATGCTTCCTTTTTGGAGGAGTTGCCTGGAGCACCATCTCCCCACTTTTTTGAACCCGATCAACAGCGTCATCAGAAATGTACTTCGTCGAGTGCATTCCACAAGCTTCTTCGAACGTTGGATGCATCAATGCTTCCTCCTCAATCTCCATGTGCACAGGTGATTCGCGAACAATCCGTTCGCATTTTACCTGTGTGATCGCCATCGGAATCATCCGACGTCCAGCATCCGACGTCCAGCATCCGACGAATCCGTGTCTAATCTTTCGATCTTCTGTTCCAATTGATCCATCATCAAAGGCCCATCTTCCGTATCCTTCAAATTCTTCTGGGATTCACGAAGTTGACCTGTGTTAGTATCATTTTTTGAAGTCTAAAAATTTAAAACGATTTTTCTGCAAAATAACAATTTCTTGATTTCTGCAAAATAAAATTTTTAACTTTTGACACGATTAAATTTCAGGCTCACTTTCTGGGTTGAATATTGATGAAGATCCAGCGAATTGAGGATCATAGATTGAATTGGAGAGCTCTGGTTGGTGTGGAGCTTCAATTTCAACTCTAACGGTAGCATTCACGACGGTGTGAGCTGGAAAATTTGCTGGAAAGGCTCACTCAGCTTCAGCTTGATGAAATCCTATAAATGCTTTTATGTTCACTAATATCTGTGACGTTTCAAGAATACCTTGTATGGGTCAAAAAGAGGGACGATTCTCCAATACTGGTGGCGCAAAGTCCGGATGTGCAGATGAATTCCATTGGTGCTGGAGTGGATCATATGCCGGAGGTGACGATGGCATGGACGTCATCTACTTCCATGGATTGTATGAAGGCGGGTGATCTGAATCATGAGGTTGTCTTTTCAGATTTACTTTATTTTTTGAGTTGTGAAAAAAAAAGATTGAAAATAATACACTAACCTCGAAGTGATGCCAACACATCAGAGCTAGACATGACTGAAACAGAAGTATCAGGAGCTCTTGTTGCCTTATAGGGCATTGAGGAGCCATGTATTTAGTTGTTGTTCTCCATAGTAGAAAGCGTACCAAATCTGAAATTGGAGATAATTTTAAAGGTGGTGTACGGTGAAAATTTTTATTGCATCAAAATGTGCAGAAATTCATGTAGATTGACATAAAAATAAAGAAAAAATTCCAAAAGAAATTCCTTCATCGAGAAAAACACATCGAAAAATACGCTGGAAGCCCTAAGGGACGAGGTTTTTTCTAGGCCGCCCGGTGAGTAAAAGCGCGCGAATTCAAACTTTTAAAATTTTTTCGCTCGTTTTCACTTTTTTTTGGGTTTTTCAAGAGTTTTCTAGGTTTTTG